TTATTGTTAGTTCTGTCCATATGGTGGAAGGACAAAACATAGGTGTGCTATTCCAGTCATATTCTGATTTCCTTTTAGATGATTTTATTTTATTTTGATGTTCGGTCAAATTAATTGAGAAATAAAATAGTTGCAATAATACTAAGGTCTGCTATTCTGTGTTTGTGTAATTTTGCGTCGTGATGAAAAGTATCGTTCATAACTAGTACCGAAAGTTATCATCCTGCACTTGCTCCATTATTCCAGTCCTCGGCTTCCCCTTGTACGTGAAAATAGCTGTCACATACTCGGCTTCACCTCGCACATGAAATTGGGGTTCCCTGTGTTTGGCTTCGCCTCACACAAAAAGTTGAGCGTGCACCGGAAAATGCCACTTTCCGTCCTAGTAATGAAATATACTATTGCAATCTGGGTAACGTCAGAGTATGACGGGAATAGCACACCTACGTTTTTCCTTCCACCTTCTGGTGCACTGTATAGAGGTTGTGCTTTGTTTCATTTAAAACCTTGTTTTACCAAATAAAAACAATCTAATCATAAAAAATTACTATTTCTCTAGTTAAATAACCAAACAGTAAAGCACAAATCAGGAATTTAACCCAAAAATGAACTAGACACAAAAAAAGAGCTTCAAACTTTACAATGGGATGAGAAATCTATTTGTGTTGGTTAGTCAACGCTACAGCTGATCCATATAAATTGAATTACTAATTCAGTATACAAAATAATTAATCAAAGATCAAACATACGAAATATTGTTGTTTATTTGTATTTCCTCTTTCCCTGCCTCTTACTAGTTAATTGTACCATGGATTGGATGCAAGTTGACAAACTGCTGTTGACATTATTAATTTTGTAAACACTCTTGTGAGATATTTCAGACACAAATTACATAAAAGGTATGCTTGTGTGTGAATCTTTGTTTAAGCTGCCCTGTCCAAAGGATTTATATATGACTCTATTGTGAATTTGAAAATATGATGCTTCAAGAAGAATTAGAGTTGAAAATAGACAGTCTATTAGCGAAATGTCGGACCGAAGTTGAAATTACTAAAACAGCAGAACAAGGCGCCATGTTTAGAAAAGGACCTTTTCAAATCAGCATCAGCCTAGCAACAAAAATGAAAACTTACCAGGATGACCTTTCAAACTGCAGAAGAAATCCTTATGATGTATTGTTGAACGTGTGTACGGACAATGGTTGGGGAGTTCCTGTTTTTAGAACTGTTGACTACACGGTTGGAATAGGATTTTTGTTCAGTGTCATCGTCAATGATCATGAGTTAGTGTCCAAACGGAGAGACAAGCGACCCCTTGTTGCAGCAGACCTGGCAGCAGCTAACTTCCTGAGATATCTAGGATTGTGGGTGAATGAAAAGAACCTCAACTTGACTTTTGATTGGGAACAAATCACCTGCGATGATGAAAATTCCAGTAGTCAAAACATGGAAGCTAAGAATATATACGGGTATTTGTATTTTATGGGCTTTCAAGTTGTCAAGTCAGAAACTACTAGTGATGAAACGACTTCAAAAAGTGTAATCAGTCTTAGAGCTAATATACATTTACAATTAGGCAAGTTGATCTACACACTTTTAACTAGTCGAGGAGAAAAATCCTGTTGGCTTACTGATATAGATATTGCTTTTTACAAGCGAATCTTTGGGGATTTAAAATCTGATGCTTCGTACATCTTGAATAACGAATCCTGGAAATCAGATAAAGTGTGTTCCTGCAAAAATAAACGATCCAAAATATGTTTTATTCATGAAGAATATTTCTTTTACTTTTTATTGAAGGACTACTTCTATGTTGATGAATATGGGCCAGTTGATTGTGCGGTTTTAGAACAGTTGAAAAAGATTAAACAAGAAGAGGAAGAAAAAGTGAAAACAGATTTAGAAATGGAATTGAAAGAAACTAAGCCAGAACTTGATTCAGAGTCTGTGTTAAGAGAGTTTAAAGAAATAAAAAAAGAAAAAGAGGATGAAGTAAAAAGAGAAACAGAAGATGTGAAACCTTTAACTGTTGAGAATTCTTTTGAGGGGTCAAAAAACGTAAAAAAAGAGAAGGAAGATGATGATACCCAAACTACTCATGAAACCAAAGTAATGTTCAAGCAAGAAATTTTTAGTGAGAATGAAAGATATCAAATTTCACATGTTAGAAAAATTCCTACAAGTCCAACATTTGATGTAACAGAAACCCCTCTAAATCTTAGGCATGATCTAAAATCCAAAATCTTTGGGGAAACTAAGGCGGACAATAATGTAGATGAAGTTGGTGTTAATTTTGAACTATCTTTTGATACAAAAACAGGCGTCAGTAATATAAAGACATGTGCAGGACGTTATATTACCATTGCTGACTTAAATCTTCCTCGTATTCCACTTGTAAATGCCCGTAAAAGAACATCTTGCAACAACATCACAACTGTTGTAACCTCACAACGCAAGAAGAGGAAGTAAAAGACACTTAGGAGAACTAAGTTGGACTGTAAAATAAGAAAACAATTTTTCTTAAAATAAGCTAGGACAACAGATTTGTTTTGTTGAAACATATAGGTATCTACTAAAGACATATTGTTTATATTCACTGACTTAACATGTAGACTCAACTGGATCTTAACTGGAACAGTACTTAAGTATTGCCGTACAAATTATTTACGTCCCTGAAAAAATGTTCTGTTCTGTTTAGAGTGTTATATTGTTTTCATGTAAAATCTAGAAGTCTTAAGTGTTTATGTTTGAGATTCAATTAAAAAGGGATGCTACTGTATGTTGTTTATTTTTTCCCCACTTCCTTATATTTTGTAAATTACCCTATCCTGACTACCCACTCCACCACTGCAAATACCTCATTTTATTCTCATTAGAAAGAAAACTCATTTTTGAACATTTAATGATGTACCAGAATATTATAAAAACAGTTTACTATGGAAAAGAATAAATTTTACTATAGTTTATTAATAATTATTTGCTTAGAAACAGAGATTATACCCATTTCCAGTCACATTATACAGCTTGTTAATAAAATATGAATACCATTTTTTTAAATTCCATACAAAAATGTTGAATACGGTAATTTAATATTTGCTTCAAAACTTTACCAACCTACTAGTAATACATTTTTTTAAAAGCTGTTATTAGTGGCCTCTTTTATATTTACCCTTCCATTCAGGGCCCTGGCCTGTGCATGAAACCTTCAATATCCAATAGTCAATGATAAAACGTATCCAGCGTAGTAGGGGGTACAGTAGCTACGCTACCACAGACGGAACGAGAGTGAAATTTACGGATAAAAGTTAAAGGTGAGCATCAGTATTGAACCCACGACATGGCCATGGATTTGAAGGCTGTCGTTCATCCGTATTATTTGGTACGAAATGAAAACATCTTAAAGCACACTTTACATTTTTACAAGACGAAAACGTAACTTGAAATAATTTTTCAACTGTCCTTACCGGACCGCAAGTAACTATTTTGGATAACTATGAAAGTAGTTGTTTGCAAGCTCTAATTTAGAGCGAGGGAAAAACGATCAGCTGATTTTACCTTGCTCTAAATTTACTTTCCTTCGCACTCAATTAACTCTCCATTTACCCACTAGTGTTAGGCTAGTGTTTTGTTACAGTTAATTTTAATGATTTAAGTCAGCTGTTTTCATTGTTGCACAATCTAAATGTATGCAGAAACAAGCATTAGTTTTGTTTTGCTGTGTTTTAGCGTAATGCAACTTTAAAATTGCTTAAAATATGTTTAACATTCCATAACGATTCGATGAAAAAAGCTTCAGAGATAACTAAAAACCTTATGACAGAGAAATTACGAGAGGAATACAGTTTTATGAACTGGTACCGGTACAACTGACAAAGTGTTTAACCAAATAAAGTAAGGGACAAAGTATTAATTATTAGTAAGGCTCATACCCGTGTCGTTAATACTATTTACGCAAGCTGCGTACACTACTTTACATACAACAGTATTTTAATTACTAAAAATCACTACTCATAACTTCTTAGAGAGGTGATGTTTTAGTTTATAACAGCTGATTAGTTGAAGTTCGAATAATTACAATTTTATTTCTTCTCTCTCAATTCTTGAAACTCATAGGTCCGTTACCCGCGTTGTTATGAGTAAAACTACGCTGTTATGTGAAACTTTTCAATTCTAAGAACTGAAAACTTTAAAAAAACTTAACGGCTACGGTACTTTAAAAAAAACGGTCGTAGGTAAAATATTTTTCTAAAAATGTATAATCATAACACCAAAGGCTTTACGTTGTGATGTCGATTTTCACTGATAAAGAGTGGTCTAATAGAATTTAAATATTACTGATTTGATTACTGTATTTGTGTATATATATTCGTGATGAAAATAAGTATTGTTCATAACTCGTACCAAAAGTTGTTTTTCCGGTACTTGATCTATTGTAAATTTTGAAGCTCGTTTTTCATGTCTAGTTTATGTCTGGTGATAGTCATCGCTATAGTGTCAACGAAATTTTGTTTATTTTAGTTTAGGGTAATTTCATGATTTGTGCTTTAGCCTACTGTTTGGTTCTATAAGTAGGGGACGAATTATTGTTTATGATAAGATTTACCGCTGGCGGTCGCACTAAATGTCTACAGAAATTCATTACGGGAATTCTTTTACTGTAGTAGTATAACAAGGGGACGAATTGTTATATGATTAGATTGTTTTATTTAGCTAAATGAGATTTTAAACTACTGAAATAATAAGAAACATGTAAACAAAACATGACCTCTATAGTGCACGGGACAGAACTAACAATAAAATTGACTTCAGCATAATGATGAGAAATCTACCAAGGGAGTAATGTTTTATCTATGCTACAATTAAATGATAGATAACTGTCTGCTAATTTTGATTAAAACAATTAAAATCATGTGCCTGAAACCACTCTTGAGGTCAATACCAACAGCTGGTTGCCATGACACCAAGTAAACACCCACCATCCCTCTCAGATATAAAAGACAACTGGCTTGATAATATTTTATCATCCTTAGATTAAATCTCAACTATAAAGTTATGGAACTACCCTCATATTCACTTCTAGACATTTTGAATGAAAACCTAAAGAAGACTGGAAGGGTAAGTACCTGTCCGATAGGTTAGTTTTATGGTAAAAAATAACTTACCAAGAATAGAGATTGCTCATAAATTAAATTGGTAATATTGACTATAAAGTAAAGTATTAGGCTTACTTATTTTACATTTAGGGAATTTTCGGTTACTCTATCTATATCTTTGTACGGGTTTCAATATATTTTGATGTCACTAGAATATAATGTGTAGTTATGTTTGCACAAAAAAACCAAAAAGACAGGTTTAGGAGAAAGGCACAAGAAGCCCTGAAAATTTGATCGTTTCAAATAATGACAATGTAGTAAAGAGTTTTTTTGTTTTTCTTCTGTCCGGGAACCTTCACATCCGAGGACGATATCTAGCCCAAAACTATTTACTCATTACTTAAGGCTAGGTCTGGAGCTAGAGGGTTGCAGCATTATCGCTTGTATAAAATCCATTGGTGATTGACGAACTCGAAGCCGGTACCTCTGGGACCGAAGCCTGGCGCTCGTCCACTAGACCAGATTTCCCTGTTAGTGAAAGCATAAATCTTTCATAAGCTTATGTTTCAAACTTTAATAAACATCTAAACATCTTCATTCAATAAGTAGAATAATATGTACCTTGCTGTTTAATAAGTCAAGTACTTATTTTAAATACAGAAAAGTTACCTACATCGGGTTGTCTACGTTTTTGACTACAACAAGTTGAACATCGATGGCAAAGAGATAAACATGGAGGAAGAAATGAGAAACTTAATGACTGGATTGAACGAAGCAGATGGCGAACCAGTGACAGGACTCTTGTTGTTGTACGACAAATACGGAGTCAACATGCTCGAGGTATTTTACGATTGGCTTAGATTAGATTTATGACGGGGATACGAGACACCAAGGTGAATATGAGTGATGAGTGGACTAAAATCAGCTGGTTCTTAGCCAGTACCATTCATTAAAAGCCTCATCAAGGTCAGCTGAGTCCATAGGTTTCGAGGCATAAAAAGTTTCAGACTCTTCTCAGGATTGAACTGACAATCTTCTGACTTCTAGGTCTCTATTAATACATAGATCATTCAGCCGTATAGTAACATAATGGTTCTTGATTTAGTCTTGTTTTGTAAATCATGTTCCCAGTTCAACTACTATTTGTTTCTTTCCGGTTTCGCTCATTCAGGAGGTGAATAATTATTGTCATGTAGTACAGTACTATTAGTAACAGTATTCCTCTTGAATATGAAAATGTTAAAGTTACCTCATTTTTATTATAATACTTATTATCTTCTTAAAGGCAAGGGTTTAAAGAGTATGTGCAAAAATATGCAAGATTTGCATAAAGAAGATGGTCTGTTTGAGTTTGATCCTGAGGAAATTCATAGTACCAGTAGTCTTTTTGTTGTTGAAAACTGGGCCCAGCTGTTTTTAACTATCAGGTTTCCAATAATTAATTGGTCCTGGTTAAAGAAGTCAGTAACATGGTTTCACAAGGCAATTTGTGTTTGGGTCAAAATACACATTTGTTTGCATGGGTCAAAATACACATTGGAGCATTTGCATATCTTAAGTAAAATTGAAATATTTTAAAGATAAAGATAATTCACTTGTTTCAATTATGATTATTTTAGAAGTTGAGATTTTGATGCAACTGGGTTTGTTTTAACCCAAATATGAGTGAAGGATGTATTAGATGCATTGTGCATGTGTTATTGACTGGTACCAGGCAGTTTGAATAAAGTATATTGATTATTGGCTATAAAACTTCCAGTTGTGATTTAAGAACTTGAATGTAGACCTATCCGGATCAAAAATTGCAAGATTTTTATTGACAAAAATAACTTCTTGTACACAAATGTGGTACTCTTTTTCAGGGTTCCGAGGAGAGTATTTTCCGCCATTTTCAAGAGATGGTGGACTCGCATGTTATTGGTCAATGTGTACCAAGAATCAAGATCTTACTTTTTGTCACTCATATTGCACAGGTGAGTTTTTTTTGTGTGTAACATTTTTTTGGAAAGAAAATTCTTTGCGTTTGCAGTGTAGACAGGTTTGGGTTTGACATCTAGTAATTAGGAAAAAGGAGCCAAAATGCCCAAAATTGAATAAAAAAAAAAAACATTTTTACTGAGGGAATCTTAAGACCTCAGTCATTTCTTATATTTAGCCTCTAAAAGCAGAATATATTTGAAGTATCTTTTCCCCCTAAGCAAGATCAGGCACTATCTCTGATCTTTACTTTATCAATTTTGCTCCATTCATTCCTCTATGGTTTAAATTATATTGTTATATACTGTAGCTGAAATAAATCGTAAACATGTGTGTGATCTTTAAATATTAGATTTATTTTCAATTGTTATATGTGATGCTTCATGTAAAGAAAGAAAGTACCATGATGATGGTTCCTCCATCGTAGAATAACCAACACAAGTGGACTTCTCATCCCATTGTAAATTTGGAAGCTTTATGTCCGATCCGATGACACTGATCGGTGATCGCTAGTGTTGACGAAATTTTGTTACTTTTATTTTAGGGTTGATTAGATTTCATGATTTAATCTTTACCGTTTGGTTGTACATAACACAGTCAAAAAGTTCCTGGAAATTCCACATGAAATTCTACAGAAATTCATTCCGGGCTGAATGGATTGCCTGATAGCAGGTAGGTCTACCTTTTTTAATATTATTTGGCAACTAACTTAGTAGGCTAAAATCAACAATGAAGTCTTATTTGTTTTCACAGAGGATTCTCTCGTATTGGTCAATTTTTAAAGCACAACCACAAACCCTGCTGGAACGTCTCGACGTTTCCAATGTGGAGGAAACCAGTCGTAGAATCAAGATGATTGTAGTCAAACTTTACAATCTGTGGAACCACCTGCGATTCCATACTATGGTAAGGTCAACCAGGACATATCACAATAATACAATTTGAATTTTATTTTATAAATACTGTAATGAGTAACTTCCTGATAGTTCAAAATTGGGCCGAGCTGTTATTAATAATTGGGCTTGTAATCAATTATCCTGGCTAATGAAACAAGCTTAGTCAGTAACAAATAAGCTATACAGATCATCTCACTTCACTATAACAGTATACTCATCTTGCATCCATATTCAACTTACACACAAAACTGCCAACTGTCTCAAAGAATTCATGATTGATAAATAAATATAACGATAACACATTTATGACTACAGCTTCATCATCAAAACCTAAAAAGTTCAGTCCAATGAGATTTTCACAGATTTTTGATGACATGGTCGTTTTATTTTGCTCTGAAGCGTTGTTTAGCCTTTAATTTTGATTTGAAATATATATTCTTTGAGAATCCTTCTGTAAGGAGAAATCTCTAATAATTATTAGTGTTAAATGGTGAGAACGTGTAGGTTATTGAATACACAGAGGAGTTGTCTGGGTTGTTATAGTGCTCAACTTCAAATCTGGTGGTTGCTGGTTTGACTCCAACCAAATTTTCTAAACCCAGATGCCATTTGTAACATTAACGTACAAAACAAACACCCAACAATGATGCTATCTAACAAAGAGGTTGACATTAGATAGTAACGAGACCAAGGTTTAGACCGTTCCCTTAAAAAAAAATTGCGATGGCATATACACATAATAAACAGTATCAGCAATCTGACACATACTTTCTCCCATTAGCTTGTCAACAACCTTTATCATGGGTAAGCGGTGGGAGTTTACCTATGATTTATAGGCAAAATCACTAAAGATGCAATAAGTTTTGAACTGCAGTTTTTACAGCAATGGTGGGTTGCACCTTATTGTTTAGAATTATAAGACAATGACATACTAATTTTAATCAAAACCAGCATTTTTTTTAAATAAGTTTTTCTGTTATTTTATGGGGTTTTTATGGGAAAATAACATAAGTTACAATAACTTTTGAACTGTGTAATTTTTACAGCAATGGGAGTTAATTAAAAACATTAAAAAAATGCCTGGAGATACCACAAAATAAGTAACTACATACCAGATTTCATCAAAATAGCTGACTACAGGTGTGGTCTGTAGCTTTGTACACATCCACACATACAGACACAGAGAGAGAGAGAGAGAGACAAACCACTTCATAAACCACTTTTTCGGGTCCAGGGGGGCCCAAAACGGATATATCCACTCTGAACTCAAACTTGAAAATGTTGACGAAAACAATACTTTTCCATATACTATGGTATAGGGGGAGAAAGTAAAAAGTAAAAAACAAATGTGCAAAATGCCTTTCTTGTTGAAGTAGACAGAAAATGCAGCCTGAGACAGTACAACAGAAATTGTAACTAATTGTAATTGTAAATCTGTTCCAGGGAGCGATGAGGCAGATGACTATGGACCACTTGACTGACCGAATGACTACGAACCTTCCGGAGACAGCTCGGCTGGAGTTTGTCCTGAGCACTCCGGCACTCAAGGATCTGCGGATGTTTGTAGAGACGCATCGAACTGTGCAACAACCCCGGATGTACCAGGGTAAGCCCATCAGTTGATTCCTCAGACGAATGCTTGGTCGGTGTGATTGTTCATTCCTCCCAGTCGTAACAATTTAGTACTATCAAGGTGGCACCTGAACCACAAAGGATTTTGTGAACCAATCAGCATAAACATGTGTTTTTTAAATTAAATTAAATCATCCAGATTTTACCATTTGTGGAGATGCTACAATGGTGTATTTTATGTGAGTGAAGGATGAATGTAGAATGGAGTGGAACACATTTTGAACAGATTTTTGAATAGAATCTTGTGGAACATTACCAAGAAAATCTAGAATGAAAACTTCCAATTATTTGAAAGTTTTATATCAGTTTATTATGACAATCTTTTTATTGTCATTGCATTAAGAAAAACATTCCTTTAATCTAGCTGTGCTCTCCACTAACTTTGAACCCAAACATTAGACTGCCCCACTTCATTTTATCATGAGGCAATCTTCACCCTTTCCTCAATACTTAAATCACCAGCCACAATAGTAGTGTTATTTTGAAGCCATATGACAGCTTCAATCAATTAACATATGGAACTACCAACAATGTCATGAAATTAGCTACAATCAGCTGACAATATGAGCTAAGGAAACCATATGGGGTTTTGGTGATAAACATTTTAAATTAGGTATACACTTTTCAGCCATGTACTAGTATCATGGCAAAACAACTTTTTACTATTTTCAGAATCACCTTTGAAAATGATTTAACAATAAGTTAAAGACTTTTTTTAATTTTTAACATTTGTTACAGAAACAGTATGGCCTCCTGCAAAAGAGTTTATACCTTTTACAATCTTCAAACCTGAAAATTATCGATTGAAAACTAGTACTGAATCAAGGACGACTTCAAAAGAGAATTAAACTTCGTTAACTTTGCTTTTTGGTTAATTAATAAGTTTGTAAAGATTTTCTGGGTATTCAAGAAAAAAAGATTGTCAAGCAACGTCCAATGTATGCATACTTTTTAAAACTAAAATTTAATAAAATAAAACTCAACTTAATTTTTACAGTATTTTTATATTCATAAAACCATAAAACACACGATTACTAGAAAAATACCGGTATGGATCATAAACATCAACAAATGACGTTTTTGGCCCGAAAATAAACATTATTTAACATTAGTTAAATGGAACTGCTAAATAGTTATTTGTGCAACTAGTGAGAAAAGTGAGCAATTGACTCACTCGAGAGAAATCCTTACTCACGAGCCGTAGGCGAGTGAGGAATGGTTTCTCGAGTGAGGCAATTGTACTTTGAACTCCAGTTGCACATTATACTTTTCCTACAGTTACCATAAAACAAATAAATTGGTGAAGAAACATAACCTATTTTTACACAGAAGTGAACTTTTAATATAACATTTAATGTGAAGTGACAAATACAACAGTACAACAGCTGACCAGCTGATTTACAGCCAGTGCTGCCAACGTATTTCGCGCGCATACGACGTTGCCTGCATGTTACACGCTCACTATTTCGTGCCTTCACGTTGCAAATCTGGAGTGAGACAAAGTAATTAGAGTGAGACAATGTTAACATTGTCTCACTGATGAGCGAATTGGCCACTTTGCTTTCTCAAATCAGTGAGAGAACATGTACATTGTTAGGTAACTGTAGGAAAACATATGTTCAATGTTATTAGTATAGGATTCAGGCCAACAACATTTTGTTTATGTTTATGATCCATACCGGGTATTTTTCTAGTAATCGTGATAAAACACATGGCATTGTATAATTGTCATTTAAGTCGCTTTGTACAAATTATAAGTAGGAAAATAAATTTTAAAGTTATAATAAATATTGTTTTATTATTGACGTTCTGACTTATTTGTTTATACAAATACATATTTGTCCACGGTTTATTTGGGCAATTAATTGTTTCACTGATGACTGGAAAATTCTATTAAGTAAAATACAGATACAATCTCAATTTCTCATGGAGATTCTAAGAAAATACTACAATATTTTAAAGTTCACAAAACAATAATTATTGTGTTTTATTGTTTTATTATACATTTTTACAAATTATTAAATTTTTTAAATATTTTTGACTTTTGGTGACTCAATATATTCATTACCGGTACTTGTATTCTATACTTAAAATTCTAGACTGTAAATTACACCAGAATAAACAATTATTTTTTGTAAAACAATAATACTACAAAAGAAACATTTGTCTAAAGACTTGGTTAAACAAATATTCCAAAAACCATCGAATCTTTTACTAACATTTTGTTAAAAGAAAACAGTTGGTATAAGAAAACAGTGGGTTTAGGGCAATGTTTGCTGAAAGTTACACAGAAACATGAGAAGAATAACCAACACCATGAACACATAGAAAACATTCACAAGTTCATCCTACAGATAAAAAGCCTAATCAAACTAAAGTTAATAATCATCATGGTTACTTTAATAAAGTATGAACTTAAGGAGGAATTTGAATACTTTATTTAGATCTATCTATCTATCTAATAGTCAATACAAATTTGCATCCTTCAAAAAATATTAATGGTGAAATTTGATTTTTGATCAAATCCAACATAGTTTCTTTTATTGGAAATAGTAATAAAAAATACACTATGTAAAAAATTAAATATTCAAGAAAAGTTTTTGTTTTTAGATTCTCCTTAAAATTTTAAAATCTCATTTTTATAAGGGGCAGTTTCAACAAAACAAAGATATTTTTTGATAAAGTTTAGGAACCTTGTTAAGATCAAATAGGGCACATATCATTATCATCTTAAAAATATAAAAAAAAGAAATGTTGTTGAGAATAAATTATTTATTTCTACCTAGATACAAAACTATTACAGAAACAAAGCATTACTTTTTATTTCAACACTACACCTAATAATACTTTTATTCTTACATCTAGATTAAATGACTACATATTTCAGGCACTCATTTTGTAAATGACACACAATGTTTCTTATATACAAGAGGAATCACAGAATTATCCTTCAATCTACAGAGACAATTGATTCTTTACTTTTACTGAGATGAACATTTGATTTATCCGGAGGAATTCTCGGACCGCCCAAATAACTGATTGGGTTTAGGAACATTCTTTGATCTGAAGAAAAATGAACTGGTGAAATTTTTGTTACTGGGAAGAGATTCTTCAAAGGTCGATATCTTGGTTTTATGTCTGGTTCTGTAAACAATCAATAAATGTATCAATAAATGTTAAGTTTTTTCATCCACCCAACATTACAAATTCTGGTACTGTAGTTTTAAAACTTCAAGTTTTTGTAGATTTAAAATATGATAAGCTATAACACGTGATTTTTGTGTGTTTTTTACACATTGGTTTTTATAAAGTTAAAAATATGATATTATTTTGAAATATACCTATATTTCTGTTTAATAATGCAGATATTTTTTTCCTTTGTCAATATCATTTCAACATGTCGACAAAAAGTAACCTCAACAAGTACATGCGAAGAAAATATTGATCAATTAAGCCTCAAAATTGAATTTAATAAAGTGTATATTGAATAGTATAAATGAACCTTAAACTTCATCACGGTGAACCAAATTTTACATATTTTATTCAACTTATTGTTTAGTTGAAAAAATATTTTTGCAAAAATTAGAAGATTTTCATCAAATAATTTTAACGTTAGTAATAGATATATTTTAATCCTACCTAGAAACCTAGATAATTTTTTTTGTAATTTTTTAGGAGAGAAAGTTTGCATTTACTGATGATGCATATTACTGTTATGATCATTATTGTCTTCCTTATCAGATTATGTAAATAATCCTAATACTAGAACAGAGTAAAAAAAACGCTAAATAAGATTTCATAGGAGACATTAAATAGAGCTTCACTTTGGAAACCAAGTACTGTACCAGTAAACCAAAGGCATAAGTTTCTACAAAATGAACTTCAAAATTTGAAACACTCAGCTTAACTACGCTTGACTGTAGTATGCGATAAGCTCAATCCTTTTAGAAAATCCCTGTGAAAGATTCTTAATCCTTGTGAAAATCTCAGTCCAATTTTCCAGTGATTTCTCTATTTTAAGATAAAAATTGTATTTATTATGTGGCAAATGATTTTTTTTTACACGGTGGATCATAAAACCAAATGCTAGCTAATTTCATTGGTCCACTTGGTGTTTTGATTATATAAATTTCTGATGAATTTCCAAACTGTCTTAGAAGAAACATTCTGTTAAGGATAGTAAAATTCAACGGAGGATTTCAGAAGTGTTCTTACCTTTTTCAGTGGAGTTTTCAGAAACCCGAGTCCCATCCTAGCACCAAACAAACATTGAGCTACTACTAAATACTCTGAGACCAACAAGTACTTGGACAGTCTGCAATTTAACTAGCTCAATAGGGAAGTTTTAGTTCAAAATATTAACAATTGCCATTTTACTGTGGCTGTGATGAACAATAAACAACTTCTATAGGATGTTCCACCAGCAAAAGATATAACATTGTAGTATTGTTTGGCCTTGAGATTTATGCAATAGCACCAATAAAATAGGTTACATTCTTTGTCATTGTCGATCAACTGTTCTTCACAGATTGTTTTTGAGGTTTATTGTTTAATTTTAAAATATTCAAACCAGATTTGTGGGAGGTGTAAACCCAACCGTTAACATCCTTACTCAATCCTGCTTAACGAAAGGTTACAAACCTTGTTATGTTTACTTTCAACATTGTTTGTTTGAACGGCCACGTCACACTAGTTTCAATTGTTATTTGATGTTAAATGTATCTTTTAGTCAACGTTAATAGTTTTTTATTAAATTTTATTTGTCACAAAATATTTATCAGCCAGAATTTTATCCTTTGAAATTTTAAATTAAGCGATCTGTGAAAAGCAGTGTATCGAATGTGACAAGGTATAACCTATTTTATTGTGAGTAAAGTACAATAGTTATTTGTGCAACTAGTGAGAAAAGTGAGCAATTGACTCACTCGAGAGAAATCCTTACTCACGAGCCGTAGGCAAGTGAGGAATGGTTTCTCGAGTGAGGCAATTGTACTTTGAACTCGAGTTGCACATTATACTTTTCCTACAGTTACCATAAAACAAATAAATTGGTGAAGAAACATAACCTATTTTTACACAGAAGTTAACTTTTAATATAACATTTAATGTGAAGTGACAAATACAACAGTACAACAGCTGACCAGCTGATTTACAGCCAGTGCTGCCAACGTATTTCGCGCGCATACGACAATGCCTGCATGTTACGCGCTCACTATTTCGTGCCTTCATGTTGCAAATCTGGAGTGAGACAAAGCAATTAGAGTGAGACAATGTTAACATTGTCTCACTGATGAGCGAATTGGCCACTTTGCTTTCTCAAATCAGTGAGAGAACATGTACATTGTTAGGTAACTGTAGGAAAAAAAAATTCTGTGGACAATAATATGAAGTATTAAGCTAAAAAAAATCTAGCTAATTTTAACAACAGATCTGCCCAAGAACTTTGAGTCTTTAGTGTTTCTAAATCTAATATTAGAAATTACACGTAGGCTAGTAACTACATTATGTAAATAGAACATCTAATTTGTTTCCCACCTTTAAAGTCGGATTCATCTACTTCTAGTATTGTAGGAAATTTATTATTATTCATTCCATTGGTTGGTACAGACACATCCTAAACACAAAAAAAGCAGAGGGGCGTTTAAAACAAAGCAAACACAAAAAGCAACACGAACAAAATATGTTTGGATTTCATGAATTTAGTAATGTTATGAATGTGTGTAGCCTATTTATTGGATGTGGTGAAACCATAAGCAAAAAGAGTTCTAAAACCAATACATTTAGAAAATACAATTATCACTTACACAGACAAAAGTAACGATTTACTGCATTTAGTGAACATGGTAATTCAGTGGTTGCATCTTCAGCAATGTTATTTTGGATGTCATAATAATATATTAATGTACTGAATTCAATTAACTGGGCAAATTAAAACATCCTAATGTAAAATTGCTTTAGAAAACTTTGTAATTGCCATTTATACATATCATTCTTTTAATTATTTTTGTCACGATTTAAAGTGTACGTTATAGATACCTGTCAAGCGTATGGTGTCGTA